GGCTGCAGCTGGTCCCTGGTGGGGACATGCTGGTGGGGGGCTGTGAACACTGGGAGCTCATCTCCTTCCCCTTTGCCTCAGCCATCCCACCGGTGGTCATGAACATACTGGAGAAGAGAGCTTTCCTGAAGGTACTGGTGGTCCTGGGATGGGAGAGTGGGCATAGGGACATTCCCAAGCTTGTCACATTGCTGGCACCCTCTCGGAGCTGGCATCCCATCAGGGAATAGACAGCTTCCTGCCCTGTGTGCTGCACTGACACAGCCTCTCCCTGTCCCTGGCAGCGGTACCCGTACCTGAATGCTCCCCTGCAGGTCGGCCTGGTGGGACTCTGGTAAGTCATTGCTGCTTTGGGCACAGACTGAGCCCAGGTATGGGGGACAGTGCTGCTGGGAGGTCTGCTTGGCAGGGAAGGTGAGAGCTGCCCCAAAGCTTCCTGTAGGGATGCCAGAGCTTGGCCAGGCTAGTGCTCCCCTCAGGCAAATGGAATATGATATGAGATCCTGGGACCAGGAGCTGTTTTGCTCCATCGTGATGTCTCTCAAGTCTGCCATGGGCTCCTGCTCAGCATTGCTGTTCCCCCACACTAATGGGGACAGGCTTTCCCCCACTTCTGTAGCTAGATGCAGGGTCTGGAGCTTGGAGAGTTCACCTCCTTCCCCCTTTCCTGGCTAGGTACCCAGCGTGGCTCTGACCTGCCTCCTTAGTGCTCTGGGATCTGGCGATGGGTGAGGGTGGGTGATTTATGCTGCCCAGCTTCACCTATTCACGTCTTTCCCTTGCAGCTTGGTCTTCGCCACCCCACTGTGCTGTGCACTCTTCCCACAGAAAAGGTACAGATGGACACCTTGCCTTGCACATGTGGCTCCTGTGCGGCAGGGCTGGGGTGCAGGCAGGGGGTGTGTGGGCTCCTTGTGCTCTCTGACTCCCAAGAGATTCTTTTGCTCCTTCAAGTGGTCAGAGGCTTGAAACTGTGCACACACGTCTGTGCACATGCAGCAGTGCGGACCCAAAGGTCTGTGCTGAACCATGGGGACAGTATCCCCTCCATTCTCTGTATCTTTATCCCCTTGGCAGCTCAATGCCTGTGAGCCGCCTGGAACCTGAAGTCCAAGATCAGATCCATAGGAAAGACCCATGGCTGGAGACTGTCTACTTCAACAAGGGGCTCTGAATGGGAGTCTTGAAGCAGCCGAGACGCGTGCCATGGAGCTGCTGGGCCAGCGCGTTGCTGATCTTCACCCTTCGGATCCCTTTGGGGCTGCTGCCGCTTTCCCTTGGCCGTCGCGTGTCTGTAGGTCCCAGGTGCTCAGCTCTGCTTCCCGGGGTGCCTGCAGCCATGCAGCACCACACCAAACCCTGTCCCCGTGCCTGGCTCAGCCCTGCTCTGGGGACCTTCTGCCTGGCACCCTGGTGCATTCCTCCTGTGCTCACCCTGTGTGTGCCTGTAGCTGTGTGCAGTGCACGGAGGTGTGTGGACAGTGGCACCAGGAACTTCGTGAGCTGTGGTGGAGGAAAAAAATGTGGGGTGAGGAAGAAGATGGTGTTCTCCAGCTTTAGGAGGCAGCAGACAATCACAGCAATTGAGGGTATAACCCCTCTGCAGGCACCCCACGGTCCCCAGCAGTTCAGCAGCTGGTGCCTGGGGATGGCAGAACAGCTTTCAGAGAGGAAAACTCCCCATGCTCAAAACAGCTGTGGGTGAGTGATCAAGTACATATAGTGGCTTGAACTTGGAGGGGGGCTCTCCCAGCCCAGGCTGTGCTCTCAGTTCACCTTCTGCTCTCCTCCAGGCTGCTCTGGGGATTTAATCTGGCTTTCTGCTCCTTCCATCCCCAGAGCAAATGGCTCATTTTAATCCAGTCAGAGTCTCCGTTTTTATTCTAATTTTAATGCCATCTCGCTTCAGGGCTGGGCCGCCCCCGAGGGGTTTCTCTGTCCCCTCCTGGAGTGTTTACTTTCCGGTGGACCGTCTCAAATAGCTTTAAGTGCACCGCAGTTTCCTCTAGTTATTTTTTATATACATACAACGTACCTATATATACCAAACAATAAAAGCAGGTTGTTTATACAAAACCAACAGCAAAGAGAAGCATCTTGCTTGCCAGTTTGTATATGGTGGAAAGGGACTGCTATTGGGTTGAGGATGGGAGTGGGAAAGAGGGACATGTTGGCTTCTGGGGTGCCCCTCTGCCTCCTGGGGCCGAGCTCTGCTCCCTATTTTCCAGCCTGCTGCCTTTGCAGTATCTCTGGCTGGCCCAACATGTTTAAGCTTATCCAGCTGTCAGGTCTTTTTTTAGTACAGTCGGCTTTGGACCTTGCTGCTGCGCAGAGAGCTTTATTAAGCTGCTGCCCTGGATGCTGCTGGTTTGGAAAGGCCAGAGCGTCACTCTGGCTCTGCCCACACTCACACCCCCTCTTGCAGCTCGTTCACAGGACGCTCTGCTTCAATCCTGGCCCTAGTCCTGTGCCTGCCTCTCTTGCAGGGCTATTTTTGTCCTGCTTTCTATACACGACTATCGCAGAGCACATCAGAGAGCACATTGCTGCTTTTGCAGGACCCTGCCAAGCCTGCAGCCAGCAGCTGCCTCCCCGTCAGCTTTCTGTCCGACCAGGGCAGTCACAAGGAGTGATGGGTGTCCGTGCAGAGAGAGGAGGGTTGGAGGCAACTGTGTTCTGCAGTGCCCCATGTTGAAGGGCAGAGGAGTGGAGTCACTGCAAAACCCAAGATAGGGAGATGCAGCAGTGGTGAGATAAGGGAGGTGGCCTAGAATCACCCTGTATCACAGCTTCCCAAGCAGGCAGGGGGTGACAGAGGCCAGACTGGGGCTGTTCCCCTCCAGAAGCAGCCAGGAGAACACATGCACCCAGCACCAAGCCAGGGTGGGGGAGTGGATTGGGACAGGTACGTCAGGGATCTGTCCCCCTCCTCCCAGCCCCAGCATACTGCAAATATCTCCCCTGAGCCAGCCATTGGCAGCTTATAAATAATGCAGCCCCTTGCGGCGCAATAAGGGCTTGTCAGTAGCTATTCTGCTCTCATAAATTAAAGATGAAAAGGTACAAGGTTCTTGCCAGAAAAATGAAGACAAATTTTTAATAGCTTGCCAAGACACAGGGAGATGGAGCGCTCAGGAAAAATGAATTACGTTTTTATTATGTGTTTTATTGTGCTGTAATTGAACGGGATTATCTGAGAATACAATATATTTCCAGAGCAGTGCAAAGAAAACAAAAATAATGATGACACCTGCCTCCTCCCACACACACCACCAGCCGGCGCGGGGACACCCTCTATGTGTGCACTGGCTGAGAGCTGGCCCTGAGCTGCTGGCGGCCACAAGAGGCAGAGGTGGGAATGGGAGGGACACAGGACCAGAGACACAGGGACTGAGGGTGACTGAGTAGGGTCAGGGCTCACCCCTAGAGCCCCCAGAACTGTGGGGTTGGACGGGTGGCATGGCAGTACTTGGCCACAAAGAGCCACTGGGTGTCTTTTACCTGTCCCCATACCTCCAGCTGTTTCATCCTATCCCCGAGATCCCCTTTGGTCTGTTCCCTGCCTGCATAAACTGACATTGCTAGGCTGAGATCTGACAAACTCAGTTCTGGTGGGCTGCAGGTCTGGGGTGCTGCCTTGCAAACCAGCCGTGGTGGTTGTCCTCTCCTGGAGCTGGCAGCACTGCAGTGAGCCCATAGACTCAGTCACTTCACTGCACTAGGGGGGACCTGTCCCCATGAATCCCCTGGTCGGAGGGAAAGAAAAATGACCTCTTGGCCAGTGAGTTTTGTGGGGCTGACAAGCCCAAAGGTGACACCACTGCCTCTTCAGGGGAGCCCAGGATGCAGCAGTGGATGTAGGGGTGCAAGGATGTCCAGTCCCTTCCCGAGCTGGTTCATCACAGAGGTCAAGGGCCAGTCCCTGAAAGGCAGCAAATGGATGTTCCCAGGGGTGCTGGGCGACTCAGGGCTGGGGACATCGATTGGTCCCTGGCATTTTTAATGAGCTGCCCGACCACATGCTTTAACCTTGCCCATAATGAGGGTAAGCGGCAGCAATTCCTACCGCCTCAGCCGGCTCCCCCAGCCTTAATGAGCTAATCAATACTTGTTCTCAGGTTAATTTCCAGCTAATTGCTCTTTAATGACGCCTGGAAATGGGCAGCCTCTTGCAGGGGGGAGTGGGCAGGCTCCCCTTCCTCAGTGCCTGTCCCCAGTTGCAGGCGGTGCCGGGGCTCTGGCAGTGGGTCATTTTCCTTGGCTGCACCCCAGCCCTGCTGGCACTGCTGAAGACGGGGAAAGGGGAGGATGGCAGAGGGGACAGCGGGCACGGTGCCCCTGAGCTGGCAGCACCTTCCAGAGCACTTAGCCAGGCTGGGGGGGCCATGCAGCCCTGAGTACACAGGGCAGACTGAGCAGAGGATCCCCACATCCCAGGAGGGTCCCCAAGATCCTCGGGACACTGCGGTGGGGGCTCCTAGGGTCGGCTACGGGGTGGCTTTTTGTGAGCAGAGAGATGGGGAGGGGGCGTCTGAGGTGGCCGTGCATTGCTCCAGGATCTGCAGCCCCCAGGAGCAGGGTCGGTGCCGCGGGACGGGACGAGGCCAGCAG